AAATTTAGACAGTTTCCTTTAAAAATATATTAATATTAATTTAATATAAAAATGTATACAGAGGCGAAGAATTATGTATTGTAAACATATAGATTACATATCATATATTATAAACGAAATAAAGTTACTAAAAAATATAGTTATTAAAATCACAATATTTTTCGTAGTTTACTTGATAGTTGCGAAATTATTGTATCAAAATCTATATCCTTATACACGTTTCATTTTTAATTGAAAGAATTCCTACATTTGATAATTTTTCTTGACTTAGTGATGATTTAATAATGATCTTAAATAATTTTTGTTTAACTTCAATTTACTAAAACTTTTTTTCATATAAAGCTACTTTAGTGCAATAGTTAAAAATATTCTTTCTGCTATATCTCTAAGTTTGAATATGATTTAGTTAAAAAATAATCATGAATTAGTTTTTAAAACATCTAAAATAGAAACTGATTCTATATCTACACTCAAGTAGAGAGAGACCGTAAACCAAAATCACCATTAGTAAACGAATTAAAATGTGTAGGAAAACGTTTTGCGTAACACGCGTTAGTCATCGTAGCCACAAACACTTGTTATTGGATTATTTTATTGTAAATCATGTTAGAATTTATTATTTTCTCTTTTGTATTTCTGATTATTACACGTTCTCTAATGATACCCCTGTTTTGTGCATCATTAACGGGCAGCTACTACGTGTAATGTGACCATTATATGTGATTTATGATACATATTAAAGAAATACAGTCGCGCCGCGATCGAGATTCCCGGCACAGCAAACGCAGGCGGAAAGACGCTCGCTTTAACTTGTGCTCTAGCATCCTCTATTTTTAGTACGTAACGGTATCGAAAGAGTTACATATACACATACACAAATGTGATAATTTTAAAGCTTATCCTTACAGGCAAACGAATCGCGTCTACGAATCATAAATAATTAATATTATATAAAAGTGAACGTGTAAACAAATATTTGATGAAAACGCAACGCTAGGAACAATCGTGGCATCATTAAATATCAAAAATATAATGTTTCCATTATATTTTTATGATATTTTAATGCAATTTAGTCTAAAGTGATAAATATTAATATTAATAATCAAATTTTAATAATATAAATAATTAAATTTTGATTATAATATTAAAATTTAATTGCGAATATTGCAATCTATATTGAATAAAGCAATTAAAAACTAGGCCTATTTTTTTTAGCTGAACTGGTGCAAAAGTTAAAAAGAACAGACCTACTCTATAATACTATAATACAAAATTTATACATTTAAATATTTTTAAAAATTCAATGGAACACTGATGATCGGTAATGTTGCAACTTTGTGCTTGATTTATAAATTAAAAAATTAGCACCGAATTAATTAGCCTTTTCACATTATTAACAAGATTCCTGGCCCGTATCCTCTATTAAACATGATCAGAGACAAGTGCCAATAATTAAATAAGAAGAAGAATCGACAAAGATCCCGTCATCGATGAAATGCTACAGCTAATTGCGTAATATTTATACATAGCTATTCAACACTAAATAATCATTAATCAGATCAAACATTTCATACATTACGATCATTACGATCATATCAATGAATTGATAGGAATCTTGCAGTAGTCATAAGAGTAATAGAAAGTAACTAATAATGAATAGTACTCTCTTTACAGATATAAGATATTTTATATTTTATATTAAAATGTATCATGACAAATTTTAAAATATCTCAAAAAATTGTTAATCAAAAGCTTTTTTATTATAAAAATATCTCAACAAGGACTATCAGAATATCCATGATATAAATAAAAAGTTTATCAATAAGTGTAAACAATAAGTTTCAACGTTTCTTAAATATTTCATTAATTCCTTATAGTTTTGAATATATATCCATAATACACGTTTCAGCTCGAACGCTCTGAAAGCGTGCAGAACACATCTGTTACATTTCCCGCACCTTTTAAATAATTTTTGTTCATTAACATTTATTTCCAAACGCTTCACAAAAGCGTATATAAAGCACTTCGATTCTAGATAATGATTGGAGCGAATTATCTAGAAAGTCTTTATCAACGTTTTTAACACTTCACAATATTCTGCAAAAAATGATCTGTCATTTTCATTTAAATCGACCTATAGTTTCTAGTAAGAAATTTTTCAATAATTATATGGCTAATATGCCAATTAGAGAAGACCTTTTTAATGACCTTGTGTTATCAAGGTCACAACCTGAGTAACCTTCAAGAGGTTTTAGCTGTTGCTCATCATTTGTTAAAAAGTTATTAACAAAAAGTTTAAGAAATAGTGCGAGTTTTTTTAATTTATCGATTGATCAATCGCATTGTGTACAAATGTAATTTTGTTCTGTAAAAGTTGTATTTGCGCATAATGCGATTGATCAATTAATAAATTTAAAAAACTCGCCCATAATGTCTTATTTCTACTACATACTATATACAATTGGTGCATTCAAAATGATCACTCATTAAACTCTTTCATCTGATTGGCATATTCCGTTAAAAAATATAGATCAATCAGATGAAAGAACTCACTCAGATGAAAGGTTGTCACTCTGAATGCACCAATTATTAGCCCGGATCTACAATATAGGTGTTTTAAGTCTTAAATCGTAAGAAATTGACCAATTACAGTCGAATGCGAGAAGAATAATTGATTGTAATTCGTCCATTTCTTACTTAAGGCTTAAAAATCTATTACAGATCCGAGCTTAAACGTCGACATTAGTGGCAAATCTCATTTATACCTCATTTACAGTGCAGCTACATATACATATATTTGCACTCTATCAGGCTATCATATATATTATCTTGTAGAAAAAATATTTTGCAATGAAACTCGTTTTATGATTATATTTTACGAAACTATGAAGCCTATTAAAAAACCAAATTTTGCAATGAAGCTGCTTTTTTTATGAAGCTGCGAAGATGCGTACAGAGCCGGATTTTGCAAATTGCTTTTTGAAAAATTATAATAAATAAAATTATGTGCACCACAATTGCACTTCACTTATTTTTGTTTTTAATTACATACAATATTAATTTTGCTTACAATAATATAACAAATTTGAATTGTGTGTGTGATTTATGATACGTATTTATTCTTTAATATTATTAAAAAATAATTCAGATTATAATTTCTTCGAAATAAGCAATGTTCTGCTAAGTAATGTAAATACACTACTTATTTCGTTAAAAGTTGTGTCAAAAATTAGCTCATATCAAATTTTCAATAAATAGGAATCGGAGCAATTAAATAAATTTATTTTGCAGTTCATCAAAGTGATCATTATTTATGTAATAACCTTCTCCTTCACTTTTATCAACCTAAAAATCCAGATGCGCAATTCAACATAAAACACTAAACGCTTAAATAAAAAATATTTTTTATCTTACCGTAATAATGTTTCGTTTAGCATTTAACAAACTCTCTCTCTCTCTCTCTTATCGCTATATAATATAATACAATCACATTAACACAATTCCTAACATGTTTATAAAAACTTATTTTTACAAAAAGTAAATTCAAATAAATATGCTGAATTTGTTACCAATAAAATATTGTTGAATGAAACAAAATTAAATAATATAAAATTTAGTTGTAATAAAAGAAAGATAGCAGTTAATATAGCGCCAATTCATTTAATCGACTTTCTCGGTAATTGGTCCAGTGCCATCACTAGGATTAGATTCTGCTCCACCAGCATCAGGAAAACCACCAGGCGCTTCGCCACTTTGATATAGTTTCGTGACGATGGGATTACATATGGCTTCCAATTCCTTCTGCTTGTCAACAAATTTTTCCTTCTCTGCCAATTGATTGGCGTTTAACCAACAGATGACTTCATTGCACTTAAAAAGGATTTTCTCTTTATTGGACGCATCGATCTTATCTTTAATTGTGTCCATCGTACTCTTCATGTTGGAGCTCGAGAGCATTTTTGGCGGAAATCCTCTCTCATTGTTGCTCCTCCTCCGATCGATACTTTTCGGCTTCGTTTACCGTCTTCTCTGTATCTTCCTTCGACAAGCGACTCTTGTCGTTCGTAATCTTGATGTTATTTTCTTTGTCCGTAGATTTCTCGTTTGCAGAGACATTCGATACACCTGCAAAACAAAATACAAAAATTTGAGATATAAAATACGTTATTTAAATTATAATATATTATATTATAACGATTAATTGAACAATGAGTATGAGGTAGCTGTAAAATAGATTCTGAATTTTTAGAATCCTGGTGGAGTCACTGACTAGAACGATGGTGTAAACTTGAGTCTTGTCTACCTTCGCATCCCTAAGTGCCTTATTCCACGAGTTCGAGAGTGCTCCTAAACAGATCGACGTAAAGCTCCTCGTATCTAGGTCCGATGACCGACGTATAAAAATCGATACTCTCAAACGAATCAATCTCGATGCTCGCCTATGTCAACAAGCTCAACATTCTCCTCACCTTCTCACATTGCACGAACAATCCTATATACACATTTCACCTACATATTTCACACACACACACACACACACACACACACACACACACACACACACACACATGATTTTTTTATAAAACAATAGTGTTGTAATTAGACGTCCAATTTTAAAAACTCCATGTTTGTTAATTGTCCATGTTGTGTAAACTACTAGTCTGTGGACCACAATTTTGTAAGTATAGATTACAAAACTTTTATATTAAACAAATGTTATAATATTTTGATAGCTCTGGCGCCATATTGGATTAAAAAATGATAAAAAAGATTTAGAATATCTTCTTTAGGAGACCAGCTCATTTTTGTTTGGGGTCAAAAAAATAATTATCATAAATTTAAAAAAAAACAACGATTATAGCTATCAATTTGAAATTCAAACACACATTTTATTTATATTTGAAGAAATATCCATGAATTTTTACAAGCAAAAATAATAAAAAATAAGTGAGATCAACAAGATGAATACTCCAAAATCCAATTTTCACCAAATTCTGTACGAAGGATCCTGTTAGCACACATCTCAATAATACATTCACTTATAGCTAGTGCCTAATAATTTTTTACTGCTTTGTCGACAGGAATACTTTATTTTAAATTGGCCGATGTGCTATCAAAGCCCTCTTTCACTGTACAATCAAAGTGAGTTGTCTAAAACAAAAAAAAAGCAATTTATAATTGGTAATGTTAATTAATTACGTTAAATCTAATGAAATTTAAAAAAAAATTAAAATTGTTTTAAAAAACTGTTCTTTTTTATACTTTTTTCAATTAAATATGTAAAAAATATTCTTTAAAAATTTATTTTTTTTTAGATTTAGCGTATGCAGAAAATGATTATAATTCATGTGCTAAAAGCTTAAGTCAATGGGTTAAGCCATTTTCTTTCTACAGTGACAGCAAAATTGAAAAATAACTTTTCAAGAAAAACGCATTTAAAATTTTTATTAGAGAATATTTGTTTTATTTTATACTTACAACAGATTTTCTGTAATCAACGATTCCTGGGCCATAAAAGGCCTCTTCATCTTTATAAATTGAATAGTATTGTCCATTGCATCGGTACTTTTAGACCATTCTTTCGATGTGTGGCACATTGTTCGCTGTTTATCGTGTCAGCGCTTCACATTTAGCATCTATTCAAATTCCCATTACTTTACAAAAAATCGAATAACTTTCATTAAATATATCAGATGCCAACAACATTGCAATTTCAATTGTTTGTTTTAAATCGCAATGAAGGTATATTTTGGTACTAAATGTCACAACTTTCACATGTATTCATCCATGTATATGTACATATAAAAATAGGGAGAAAACATCTGCTAATCTAAATCTGTATATTTTAGAATAACAAAAGCCAGGTATATTATAATATGATATACACTAGCCAGATTCGAACAGTCAAAATTTTACCTTTTATCTCTTGCAACCGGATCGTTTAAACTGCTGCAACTCCGACAATCAAGATATCATTCAATTTTCTGGGAAATATTCTTTAATAGTTGTTATTTGAAAAAATGTAACAAAAGTCATTTTTTACTTAAAAAACGAGCTGATCTCCTTAAAAACAAACATTATAATAAAACTACCTTCACAAGTATCGCGCTGCTTTTCATCTCGTTTAAGTTGCTGAAGACCAAACTGAGAACGCACTTCGTATCGGTCGAGTATACGGTATATATTGCTTCGAGACATACCGAATGAACGAGATATATGGCACACATTCTTTCCATCTTCATACGCTCGCAAAATTTTTTCCTCGATGCAAACACGCTTTCTTGCACCACAATGTCGTCTAAATGATCGAGATACGACCACTGATCCTGTTTCACGTAAACGATGGATACATCTCAGAATAGAGCTGGAATTGGGTTGTTTGCGTCCAGGAAATCGTTCCGCGTAGAGACGGCTTGTTGCATGACTGTTTCCTCCGCATGCACCGTATGCAATAACCATGTCAATGTATTCATGAGCACTATATGCCATGTTCTCACAATAAATACAATCCTGGAGTACACGCACCTCGAGAACACTGAACGAACTGGGCTTGGGCTCACCACAAACTTCTATATATTAACTTGACTGTGCAATCACCGCGACCATGTTGGAATTGTGGCGATATAAGCGAAAAATGACCTTTCTCGCATGCCATCTGTAAATAAAGAAAATTTGAATGAAACGAAATATCGCTTCAAAAAGGTAAAAATGAGCCGAGTCTCTCCATATCTTCCCTCACAATTAATAAATAATCATAAAAGGCACGTAAAATGGAAAACTTATTCCAGACAGGAAACACACGATTTGACAGTTATTCAAAATAGTGAAAAATATGCTTTTACGTATGAAATTTCAAGATAACTTGAATCAGTAAACTTGAGTCTTTGTCTGTTTTTACGATTTTAATAAGTATGAGATAAGTCAGTTTCACAATTAAGCACATAACAAGGAAACGGCATACAAAAAAAGATTTCGTGCTGACTAATTCACTAGCAATCCAGCAGGAAAAAAAAAAGCATTGTATACCGCCGACTTTATTCTTCTCACAGGCTGCCTGCCGGTAGCACAATATATATTGTACTGCCGGTTGTTATTTACATATTCTTTCTATCAATTCCACCATGAATATCATATATGGTGGAAGGCGTAGAAGGATAAGGGACTTCGTACAATAAAAGCAACAAGGAACAGAAAACAAAGAATAATAATTTCAACTTATCAGAAATTGTGTATTCCACAATACATGATTTCTGATAGGTTGAAATTCTTATGCCCGTATTCATAGTCAGACTTTGTATGTAAGGCTTCCTTAAATTTATCTTTAGATACTCAGTAACCAATGAGATAATTCGTATCTGAGTATCTGAAGATAATCCTTAATAAATTAAGGAAGCCTTAAATATAAAACCTGACTACGAGTACAGGTGTTATTCTTTGTTCTCTGTTCCTTTTATTGTGCAGAGCCCTTTAGGGTATATTCACACAAATTTGCATAGCCGCATAAACGTATGCATAAAATTATCCAATCACATTTAACGTGCGTCTTATAGAAGAAATACGATTGGATAATTTTCTTTATGTATATATTTATGCGGCTATGCAAATTGTGTGGATGTTGCCTTAAGCGGAGAGCACAGATTCTCGCATAACACATAACACATAAGGCATAAGAAATTCAACCAATCAGAGTTCTTTATTTCATGGAAAGGAAAGAAACAAAGGACTTTAATTGGTACATTTTCTTGCTCTTTCGTGCTCTCCGCTTGTGGCCATTAGTCATAAATCAGAAGTTAGAAGTTGGAAATTGACCAATCACAATCGTCAATTATAGCCATTACACGCATTCTACAATAAGCCATTAGTCATAAATCAGAAGTTAGAAGTTGAAAATGGACGACTATGATTGATCAATTTTCAACTTCTAAAAGTACCTTTTCATGCGCAGCACGCTGCGGTAGCAAAAATGTCACGTGATGCCAATTTTTCATAATTGCTTTCGTTGCATTTGTTGCGCATGAAAAGGAATAATGACAACCATATGTATTAAAGTTTAACCTCAAACATATGTTTTTTATTTGCTCAGCTCGAAAATTAATATGAAACACTTAAAAAGCTAAAAATTTGTGATTATGTTAACTATTGGTGCAGTTACAATTTGGACAACTATCATTTTAGGTAATTATTTAGAATTTAGAATATCCCCTCAAATATCACTTCAAATCTTAATAAAAATGTACTCATTGTATGTGCTTATTATAAATGTACTCAATTTTTACATTTTTTGCATTTTTACAAATATTGCAGACTTTCTCGGTTTCAAATTCTTTGCTGCTCGTTGTTCGTTCGGTTGAACTTCAATGAGATGCGGCAAAATGTATTTTGCGTCGGAAGTGCGTCATCTCATGTAAAATTTTTAACCAATAGTTACGAATTGCAGCCGCAGCACGCTGCGTATGAAAAGTCAGCTTAACTTCTGATTTATAACTAATGGCGTATTGTAGAATAGCCATTAAAAGTCGGTCTACAAGGCCGGTCTTACGTTTTTCTATGTGCTCCCGGCTTTAAGCGTATGGCATGAAATCAGCTACATTTGACTGTGACTCAACAATATATTTTACAGTTTTAAAGCTCACTGCACCTAAGTACTGTATTTCATACAATTCAAAGGATCATTCAGGACGTAAGCGCTTATAATTATCATTTTGTCGTTTATTAAATGTAAAACAAGGAAATGCTGAAAGCATCCCATCGATGCGTCCGTAATGTGATTGTAGAAATATTGTGAAAAGATTTACATTTTAATGATTACCAATTAAATTATGAACACAATGGCACAAAGAAAATCCAACGTATGGAATTTTTTTAAAATATGTAGTGATGATGAAAGAAAAGCTGACTGTATTCTTTGTGAAACTACATCACGAAAGCAAATTGTAAGAGGAAAATCACGTAAGTTATTCTCGACTAAACCATTATGGAACCATTTGAAAAGTAAACATCCGTTGATAATGAAAACCTTGGATGGAGAAATAAATGTCAGTGAGAATATTAAAGTTGAAATAGATGACTATCCAATTTCTGACTCTTTATCTACAACAATGACTTCAAAATCTTATGATACTTTATCTACAACAATAACCTCAGAATCTGAAAACTTTGTGTCAGAAACTTGTGTTTACCTCCAAGAGAAAAATTCCAAAAGTTTTTTATCCTGTGAGACACAGCCTACTTTACAGTGTATAATTAAGGAAGAAGAAATGTGGTCTTTGGATGATTCAAGATCAGTCAATATAACTAAAAGGATAGGTATGTTTTATTTTTATATTTATTTTAAAGAATCACTATGTATTTTATATAAATTAATATTTACACTATTTTGTAAGTATTGTCATGTCAAGTCAAAGTATAAGCATTGTAAGAATTATTCAATCAAAATAGTATTCTTCTTGAATAATATAAGTTCATAAAATTAATATTATCATTGTTATTAATTATTATAATACAAATATGCGACCACATACATTCATTTAGGATACGGTTGAGTTACCGCTATAAATGCTTTGAAGCATTTTTTGATTGGTCAATTAAATACTTCGAAGCATTTATAGTGGCAACTCCAACCATACCCTTAATGAAACGAATTCTTTCTTTATTATTACTTTGATTTAGCAATGCCTCTACTTGCAATATAAATCCATTATATTTTTTGATTGTATATTTTAGGTGAAATGATAGCACTTGATGCTGAAGCATTCACATTAGTTGAACGAAAAGGCTTTGAAAGGTTAATAAAATATTTGGCACCACAGTATCCTCTACCTTGCAGAACATATTTTTCTGACAAAATTATACCACAGTTGCATGAAACTTTGAAAACACGTATTTGTAAAAAATTAACTACTGCAACATACATATCGTTCTGTACTAATATCTGGACTTGTTCAGCAAACAACGAGGCAATCATAAGTTTAACAGCTCACTTTATACGAAATGATGATATGGAGAGAGAAACTTATGTTCTCAGTGTGAAACACTTTCCTGATAGCCATGCTGTTAATATAGATCAGATATTAAATGATATAATGGAAGAATGGCATATAAGTTCTAATCAAATTCATCTGATTTTAAGAGATAACGCCTCTAATATGATTGTTGGAAATAGTATGTATTACTTAATATTAATAAATTTATATGTGTGCATTCAAAAATACAACCGCTGAGTAAGCTCAGTAAGCTCATGCATCTGTCTCTATATTTTTGGATTTAATGGAATATACTAATTAGATTAGAATAAGAACTCACTGAGCGACTGTAGTTCTGAATGTATCTATTGAAGAATATATTTTTTAAGTAATTAGTTACTTTTGATTTTAAATTAGCGATATTGATTATGTTATATATCTTACAGGTATGTTAGGAGATAATATAGGATGTGTTATTCACACTTTACAACTTGTAATTCATGATTGTATTTTTAAAAATCAAAAGTTTATTGAAATTTTAAGAAAATGTCGGAAAATTGTTGAACATTTTAACCATTCTTCACTCGCTTACTCGAAACTCAGTAACATTCAGAAAATTTTGAAATTGCCAAATCATAAATTAATCTACGATGATACAACACGATGGAATTCTACATTTTATATGTTGTCAAGTCTTCACGAACAACGACAAGCAATAACTGCATATGCTGCGGATAGAGACATACCAACCTTTACAGTTATGCAGTGGAGTATAATAGAAAATGTTTTACATGTTCTCCAACCATTTGAAGAAATAACTAAAATATTAAGTTCTGATTGCGAGACAATTGGATATGTTATTCCAGCAGTTGTTATTCTACATTCGTATCTTTCAAAACGACAGAGGGATGCTGGAATAGTAATGTTGAAGGAAGAACTCAAGAAAGCAATGGAAGAACGATTTTTCATTTCTACAGGTATTGTTTTA